AAAATATTTACCAGACAAGGAGAAAGGACTAGGCTTGTGACCAAGACATTCCAAATAGACACCCTTAGACATAAGCAGGTTTCCAGACTTGGTCCCCAGAAAGGTGGAGATGGCGAATTACTTTTGCCTCCAAGAAAAGCCCAGCTCATACTTCTTCTGAAAATAAACATAGCTAGCACCACAAACACTTATTCACAGTGGTCATAATTCAAAAATAGGCTTGGCTGTCATCTGCAGAGGAGTACACTGGAAAGAATTTGGAGCCAGGCTTCTTGAAAAGACCATACTCATTGACATCCCGGGAGGAAATCAGAAGAGGCCCTTCCATGAGGGACTGTTCTTGCAACACAGGTTAGAAGGCTGCCCTGGTGACCATGACACACAGAAGAACAGCATCCATATATATTTTCCTTTTCATTTTGAAGAGGAGGTTTTGTCATAAATGCCTGATTTACGTATTATCCATTTTATGCTCACCTTTGGCTGGAGCTTTTCCAGAACCTTCTTTATGGCCACAGTCTCTTTTCCAGCTCACCATATACCTTGCAGTGAGTGGAAGGCCTGACTGCTGTTATAAATCATGGTACTTCTCTGCATAACATCCTTCAGGGGCCTGGGGGGATCTCCATGCTGCTCTACTTCCAGGATCATTCACCGTCTTTGCCCTTGAGCATCTGGCTCTGTTACCAGGCCAGCCTTCTCCTCACTGGGCATGTGTCATCTTTATTATCACGCCCTGCAGTTACCGACCAGGTGGCCTCTGCCTGTAATGCCACCACCTCTCCCTTCTATTTAAAGCCGACTTGTCCTGCCAGGCACAAATTTAGTTCCTCCCCTATGTGAAGCCCACCCTGACACCCTCAGTGGCCTCTAGCCTTTTCTCCTGAAACCTTATCTTCCAGCCAGGGTACAGACAATGGGATGGCCACTCCCTTCCTCCCTGCACCTCGGCTGTGGGCTTCATATGTTTTACTTCATAATACATAACACCATCCCACTGCATGTACCTTAGATAGGACCTCTTGTATGGATACTGGTGTCTGGTCTCTCTCATACAGCAAACACTGAGTGCTGGAAATGTCGTGTGATAGGCACACTGATCAAGAGCCTATGTTTTCTGCCTCTTAACTCCCTCTAAAAATTTATCTTGTATCACATCCTCCCTTATTATCCCCCCTCCCAACTATAAGTTTATACTCTAGTCATGGTGGCCTTAAGGTTAAGTTCAATCCCACCTCCAAACGTCTGCACTGGTTTTTGTAGAGTTGTTGGCTTTTCATTAAGATCTTGGCTCAAATGGCATCTCTTAAAAGTCTTCTCAAAAAAAAAAAAAAGAGCCTTCTTTTTTTGGGGGGGACCCAAAGGTCAGTTAAGAAAGAGCCAGTTGTGAGGAGGAGGCAGCATTCGGGAGGAAGAAAGGTGGAAGGGGCTTAGTGCTTGTGGAGATGAGGGATTAGAAGGGGTCCTACAGATCCCTTCCAGTTAGGAGCCGTGGTGGTCCTTCCAGAACTGAGCCGCTAATCCAAAGGCAGCTATGGGAAGCCAAACTTTATACCAAATATTATATGAAAACCCTTGTTCAGGAATTGAAGGAATTGCAGATTTATAAGTTAGGATTTCTCTTGTGGCAGATCCTAGAAAATGAGCTGTTTGTTCCCTGCAAGACAGGAGACAGCAAAGGGCCCCCTACAGAGGGAGTGTTACTTCCTGAGTTAGAGTTCACCCTGAGGCATCAAGGTTAATAGTTAAGGGTAAGCCAAATTCTTGAATTTGTGGACCCCTCCTTCCTGAGTCAAGCAGAAGGTTTTCAATAGAAAGAGCTTGGCTTCATTTGCATTGAATTCTCTTTGTGATTTACTTCCTGATAATTTTCAATAAAGATACAGAGAAGCTTGGCTTGGGGTCTTCAGTGGAGAACTGCTGGCCCCCTGTTTTATGCTCTCTGCTCTATCACAAAAAAAAAAAAAAAGAGAAAAAAAAAAAGTCTTCTCAGTTCAGCCCGAGTAAAACTATTCCCTACTTTTTCTTGTTCCTCTAAGTACTTATAATTTCTGGCACTTTCTCTTATATTTGTTATGCAAACCCTGGTGGCCCAGTGACTTAAGTGGTTGGCTTTAAACAGAAGATTGGCTATTAGAACCTACAAGAGAAAGATATGGCAGTCTGATCCCTTAAACAGTTGTTGTGTGCCATCAAGTTGACGACAATTCACAGTGACTGTATGAACAGCAGATCCGACCTGGCCCTTCCCTGCACCATCCACCTGATCTCTGCCCTACAATTCATGACTTTATGAACTGCAGATCCGACCTGGCCCTGCCCTGCGCGGTCCCCCGGATCTCTGCCCTACAATTCATGACTTTATGAACAGCAGATTCGACCTGGCCCTGCCCTGCGCGGTCCCCCGGATCTCTGTCATGCTCACGCTCACTGTAGCAGTCCATCTTGTTGAGGGTCTCCCTCTCTGTCACTGACTCTCTTCCTTTCCCAGAATGATTACTCTCTGGTTCCTCCTATAAATACGCCCAAAAAAGTGAGATGATGTTTCACCATCTTCGCATCTCCAGAGACTCGCTTTGCACTTTCTTCAAGACTGTTGTTGTTATGTGCTGTTGAGTCAGAATCGACTGACAGATGAAACTCTGGTGGGTTTTCAGAGGCAGTTAATTGCATGGGAAGAGATTGCCCATCTTTTTCCTGTAGAGCAGCTGGTGGATTTGAACCAGGTGTTTTTGGGATTGCGGCATACTTCTAACCACTAGGCCACTAAAGCTCCAAAATCTACAGGTAATTTGAAAACCTTTAGTGGGGGCTGTGGTAAGTAGGAAATGGAATATAAAGAGAACAGCCTTGGAAATGCCATAGAGCCACAAAGTTGGACCCAAAAGACCTGAAGGCAATAGATTTATGTACGTCTACCTAGTGGCAAGAAGCCACGCTGCAGTCCTGAGGGCATGTCGAGGCCACCAGCTGCTCTGCAGGAGAAGGATGGGCAAATTCCTCCCATGTGATCAACTGCTTCTGAAAACCTACTGGAAGTCAGCTATGAGTTGGTCCTGACTCTACGGTACACAACAACAACAACAACAACAACAACAACAACAACAACACATTAGATTGCAATGGAAGCCAGGTCAGAGCAGGACTTAGAAAAAAGGCAAACATCCAGGGGATGCTCAGGACATGTGTGTTAAATTAATAGTTACTCCACCGCCTACGCTCTTACCTACGCCTTTGGGCGAGAGCCTCAGTTTCAGTGCCTCTGGCACTTGCATATTACACTGTATAATGTGTAGGGACTGATGGTTTGCAGTGATTTCATTCACATTCAGATTCAATCAGTGGGTGGGACTTAAGGGACTTAGTCACTCATTCACAGGCATTCATCTTTCAGCTAAAGGACTCATAAAAAAGGTTCCTGAGTGGCACAAATGGCTTGTGCTCAATAACTAACCAAAAGGTTCGCTGTGCAAATCCATGTAGTAGGATCAGGAAGAAACATCTGGCTATTAGCTCCAAGCATGATTAACTCAGTGTCATCTGGTGATACTGAGTCATCCAACTGATACTGAGTCTCTATCAGGTGCAGGAGGCTGGACATAAGAAGAGACTGCCCACCTTTCTCCCATGGAGCAGCTGGTGGACTTGAACTGCTGTCAACACAGCACACTACACACTGTGTCACCAGTGCTCCTCTAAGGGAAACTTACTGCCAAGACACACCATGGGGCACAGTTCCACAGTAACCTAAGGGACCCTAAGGAGCCGCAGTCTAATCAAGTAGTTTTGAAGTTATGGACAGATGCCTGCATTTCCTACCTAATCCAGCAGAGGTCCTCTCGGGCAGCATCTCTCACTGCCTAGTGGCCAGAGCCTTTTGTGAGGAAGAGGCAGGTGGCTGATATTGAGCGTACTTTCTCTGCTTTCCTGAACCCTCTTCAAGAAACACCCTGATTCCAGAATCAAGGTTTTTTTTCTGCGTCCCGACAACTTGCTATCTTATCAGCTGCTTCTGGCACCCTAGCTTTTGTTGGCCGCTCAGCTGTGGGAACTTCCAGGAGGCTCTAGGCTTACTGTAGCCCAGGCTGCAAAAAAATCCACCACCACAAAGAGTTAACCACATGCAAACTCCAGCCGGACATTACCCTCGACTTGGATAAACTGAAAGACTGAGAAAAACGTTTAAATTGAAAGAGTTGTGTAAAGAATGCTAGGTGGTTGGTCAACATGTTCTGTGTTTGGAACACATGGAATGGTAATATTTAAGGACCCTTAAGGGACTTCTTATTCCTAGAAAGGGGAGTGACTCATTCAATAAGAGGTCAGCCTGTGTACAGAGCTCGTGCTGCCACTATGCATGTCCATACACACACACACATGCAAACACACATGCTCACGCTCACACAGCAGAGAGTTAATGCTTTCTTGCATTCAGAGGACTGAAATGATTCATAAATACCTACAATATCTAAAATACAAAAAAATGAAAGACCAAAAGGGAAGAAAATTAAAAAAAACACACCACACATAAAAGGTAAAAAAGCTAGTGAGGAAACAACAGAAGTTAAAGATTTTACTCCATACTGAACTATAATACATATTTCTTGAATGGATCAAAAATTTTTCTTTTTATTTTCTTGCAACGCCATCAATTCCATTTCACAATATGAATATATGCAATGTAACATTCTGCTGCTGATACAGGAGCTGAGTAAGCAAAGCCCATTGTGTCCAGTGAAAAGTGAAGGCAGACCATCAAGGTTAGCAAGTTCAACCCCAAAATATCCTAAAATACTTGCGATGTTTTGAATTCTTAAGTTAGACAAAATTCTTTGCTTTTTCCCTCAGCAATGGTGCTAGAAGTAACGTTCTGCAGTCAATAACCGTTAGTGAAGAAGCAGGCATTCTCTCTTATAGACCTCTTTTTGCCCAGGCAACAATTAAAGAGATTACAAAAACACCAACCAATTAACTAGACAAAATACTATTAACACACTTACGTGTCATCTATGAATGTTATTCCAAAGTACTCCTTTTCTTTCAGGTTGAAATGTGAAGCCACCAGGTCAAGTAACTCTCTTGACAGAAGTTTGGGCTGTAAAGATACAAATCTTATTAGAAATAATCTAGTTCTCTCTCTCATTGCTACCACCTCCCTCTGCCCCACAGAGTTAAAGCACTTTTTATGGTTTTAAGTATGCATTTCCTTGTCTCCTGCTCATGATAATTTCTGAAAGATGATTCTCTACAGGCCTGAGAGAGGAAAGGAGATCAAAGAAGATCCTAATTTTCATATATTAGCAATTCAATCATGTACCTCACTTTCACCTGCTAAGTAATAGTGCACTTACTAATGTTCTTGTGTTTTGGAAATGTGTGTATGTGTGTAGCTCAGGTGACTCAGTGGTTTGAATACACCAGTTTCTTAGCAGGAGAAAGAAATCTCTTATTATGTGACTTCCTACCTCTGAAAATCCACTGGAGGGTCATCTATGAGTCATTTCTGACTCTATGGCACAGAACAACAACTTAATGTATGCATGTATCCGCATGTATCCATCCATCTATGTCTGTCTGTCTGTAGGAAGTTGCATTGCTAACCTAAAGGAAGAAAGGAGGTGCCTCTCTGGAGGTTTGAATCCACCAGTGGCTCCACCTCCTCCTGTCCTATTTACATCCTTGGAAACTCAATGGGGAGTCAACTGTGGCCCAGTTCTGTCTCAGTAGCAATGAAAGAGAGGCAGCCAGAGGGAGAGTAAGAAGGATAATGGGAAGGATGGAGAAAGAGGGGGAGAGGGAGAGAAAGAAAATGTTGTTGATTGCTGTCCAGTCAGAGTCAACTCAGGCTGACCCTCCAGCAGGTTCTTAGAGGCTGTAAGCGAGGGAATTGCCTATCTTTATCAATTAACTGGTGGATTTGAATCCCTTGTCTTTGATCTGGCAGTACAACCCCTTACCCACTAGGCCACCAGAGCTTCCATGTTGTTGTTATGTGCTGTTGTGTCAGGATCACCCAGGATCAATGCTCAGTGGGTTCTCCACTCCTTACTCATGAGGCCACCCAGCGCTCCTTACTGGAGACACCTCAGAAGAAAGGTCTGGTGTCTATTTCTGGGAGGCCACACTCTACACTCTTGAAAACCTCACAGAACACAGGTTTGTTCTGCACCACACGGGCTGCCATGCGTGGGAAGTTTAAGGCACCTGGTTGGTTTGGTTTATGAGGCTTGTGATCAAGGTAGAGAATGCTAAACAGCTCCTGTCTGCTTATCTGAGATACCATAAGTGATTGTAAAAGGAACATTACTTGGTGGGGCGGGGGGCTAATGAAGTGCCCAAGTTTCATGATTTATAGAATCTTGGGAAACTATAGACAGAATGAATGATAATAGTTCCTTCTATTGCACTAAACTCCTGGTATCAATTTTCATTTAGTTCTTATAAGAAATCTATGAGATAGGGTGTTGTAACTCCATTTCATAGAAAAGTCATGAAGGTCAGCTGAGGTTATGTTCTTTGCTTAATTTTACACTGTTGGCAAGGGCAGTTATTTGATCCCAGGTCTGTCTGATTCCCAAACCTAAGCTTTTCATTGTCATTGAGTGGACACCGACTCATAATCGGCCCTTCTTTGGGTTTCTGAGGGTGTAAATTGTAAGGGGAGAGATTGCTCATCTTCATCCCTAGGAGGTGCTTGGTGGATTCATACAGAGAGTCATGACCTCTGTGCTAGCAGTGCAACTCTATGAGGACCAGGCCACCAGAAGTCCCTATTTCTCTCCTGAGATGAAGTAATCCTCATCAACAGTGTGTACTGAGTTTTGAGTAATCATTGTCAGCACTATCTAGTCTTCCAATTAGAAGAAGCTATGAGCTGCTGGGCAGCACTGAATATGTGCTGATCAGCCAGACAGGAGTTCTCCTTCTGGCCATATGGGGATCAGGGAAGGAAAGGGGGACAGGGGACACAGTTAAATGCACACTTTCCCACTTTTCTGTAAAACAGTCCTTTCTGATGCTTTGGCTAATTTTTTAAAAGTCTATCACCAGGGTTTTTTCTATCCTGTCTTGATGTAGCAGCTTCTCTAAAGCCTGTCGACTCTGGGAGATCCTGTATTTGAAAAACCAACAGCAGAACATACAGAATCACTACAAGTCCCTGCAGCACAACCAACTGACACAAGCCTGGTGTGAGCATCTTCTGAGTCACGAAAGAACACCATGTGAGTATCAGATGATTGCTGGTGAGCTGGTGGAAAGAAAGACCAGGCAAAATTTAAAAATACAGACTCAAAACATCTACTCTGGTGAAAAGCTGTAGCTGACAGTCTTATTTCCCTTCTGAACGGAAGTCTAAGCTGGTGGGCTGGGATGAGCCCCAGTAGTGAAAAGGATTGATGTCTGGTCACAGCAGGGGTGTGGGGTGTCTGTCTGTGGTGATCACCAGGGTTTTTAAAGACAACTGGACTCTGAGAGTTGGGTGAACAAAAGGGAGTCTCCAATTTTTCAGAGTCCTATCCTCACCCATGTCATCTCACATGGTGAGAGCTACTGCTTTTGACAAGTTTACATGGAATCCAGCTTGATACTGACTGAAACTCTGGGAGGAAGGCTGCTCTTGTTAGTTGCTGTCAAGCCCACTGTGACTCAGCCAGCCCCACATGTGCAGCAAAGACCTGCTCCAGAGGGGGCAAAGCTGTGACCTTTTCAGAGCAGAACTCTAAGTTTGAACTTTGGGCTATCTTTGGGCTAGTATAGTGGGATATTATTTGTGCTACCCAGGGACTCTTTTGTAAGGAAATATATGATTAGGTATTACTTGTATGACAACAGTCCAGAATAAGAGGTGCACAGCAAAGTGGACTGGGGGGTGGGGGGAGTGAGGATTGTGCAACAATGAGGAAACTTTTTAAAGAGAAAAGCGAACTGGGGTGGGGGTTTGGGAGGAAAATGTGCAACAATGAATGAATGGAAATCCAAGTTTTCTGTAAACTTTTGTTAAAATATCAATAAAAAATAGTAATAGTAATCAAAAACAAAAACAAAAAAATCCCTATAGATTCATGGCCATTAGCTGGTTTCACTTCATTGTGATCCCATAAGATCATGCAGGGTTGTAGTGTTTCCAAAGCTGTAGATCCCTGTGGTAGCTGATCGCCACATCTTCCTCCTATAGAATGGTTGGCAGGTTTGAACTACGGACATTTCATTAGCAACCAATAATTTAACCACTGTGCAACCAGGACTCCTTGTGAAGAAAGCTGTTGCTGTTGTTATGTGCTGTTGAGTTACCTAGGATTCATAACTACCCTATGTACAACAGCCCTAAACCATGCTCTATCCCGTGCCAATCTTACTTCCTCCGACACACCTATCCCCATTATACCAGTCAAGTCTTTGGAAGTAGCTAGGAAGTCTTCATTTCAGTTTACAGCTAGTGGAACTGGGAAATGAACAAAGGCAATGCCATGTAGCCAGAAAACAGCAGAATGCAGGCTCTCATTCAAGATAAGCCCTTCAGGAAGTGCCACTGCCTCCATCTACCACCAAGAGGTCAGGGACACAAAGCCTGGGGGGTGTCAGGGGTGTGGATGGAACCCATCAATTCCCACTCACAGTGACCCCCTGTTGGGCTTGTGAGGCTGTAAACCTTTATGAGAGGAGGCTGCCTATCTTCCACCTTTGGATAGGTTGGTGGAATTAGTTAACAGCACAACACACTATGTTACCAGCACTCCTGAGTCCATGCCACTGGCCTGTAATCACACTTAGACACAGACCAAACTGTCTAAGCCTCTGAAGTTGCCTGTCCCCACTCAGCCCACCCAGAACTAGTGGGCTGGAGGTGCAAAGAGAATGCACTGGGGCTCCACTCCAGCCATAAGGCTCCCAGAACAAACCCCCATGGCAGTGCCTACCTGCACCAGCAGCTCCAGTCTCCTGTCATCCAGGAGGTGCACCTGGCAGTGCCTGCCTTCCGTCATCTGTGGGGACAAAATGGCCAGAGTGGTGTCAGGGCATATTCATTTTACATGCAACGTGCTCAGCCTGAAAACGGCTTCCCACGAGTCAGTCTGTGGGCTTGGCCACAGAAAGAGTCACTATAGGACATCAATTCTTAGATGTAAAGAAAGAAAAGAAAAAAAGCAAATAGTACTTAATATATTGAGAAGTTATTGCCTATACAGCATGCCCAGTTCAAATGACATGCAAAGCACATACACTACGCATGAGTGGAGACCTCCTTCCCAGAAGAAGTACCCTTTAAAAATGTTGCAATCAAATTTTATTTTTTCAAATGAAAAGACTTTGTTTACTGGTGGCTTTTCATAAACATAATAGATACATAATGATAAAAAAATGTTGATACTCAAGTTAAAATGGAAAATTTTCATTTTTGAAACTTTAAGTTTATCATCACTGGGAACAGCGACTACCTTGATGTATACATTTCCAGTTATATTTAATTTTTTCTTGCCTAGAAGTGCAATGCTGGGACATAGTATTTACAAAATATTTAAACAATAGTTAGTATATAAAGATTTGCCTTGATTAGTTTATGTTTCAAACAATTTATTTCTAGATTATGTTATGTTTTACTCTAGCATTATGACACTGGATAAGATAATATTAAAACAAAACAAAACAAACCAAAAACAGGCTATGGGGTAGAGTGGAGCCCTGAGGGCACAATGAGGCGCTTGGGGGCCAACTGCAAGGCCAGGGGTTCAAATGTGCCATACATTGTTGTTTTTGTGTACTGTTGAGTTGGGACCGAACCATAGGATCCTCCAGCGGATTTTCAGAGGCAGTAAACCACGTAGGAGGAGATTGCCCAGCCTTCACCTGCAGAGCAGTGTGGATTCAAATCACATGCGTTGGCACCTCAATTCCTTACCACCATGCCACCAGAGCATAGATTTTACAGACTTTGAAACCCTATAGAGCGGTTCTGCTCTCTCCAGCAAAGTCTGAGAGTTGGAATTGAGTTGAAGGCAATGAGTGTGTGTAGGATAGAGTAGAACTACCCCATAGAGTTTCCAAACTTGCAATGTTTACGTAGGTAAATTGCCACATCTTTCTCCCCTGGAGCAGCTGATGGGTTTGAACTGCCGACATTTCAGTTAGCAGCCAAACATTTTCCCACTGTGCCACCAGAACTCCTTTACTGGAACACTCTTCTGCAAACAAGGCAGTTATTCTCAGCATTTGTTTGTGTGTATGTAATTATTCAGAAGCTGTGGAGCTGTGTGCATACATGAAAGGGGGTGTGTGTGAGTCTAGTGGGCAGTGCTTTCCTCTCTGCAGTCCTTCGGCCCTACTAATCCCAGCGTCAGCTAGTGGAGCCTGACCTCATGTTTTAAAAGGTTGTACAGGAGGCAGGGAGCAGGGGGGAGGGGGGGGAGGGGGAGGGCGGTGGGATTGTATACCAACGAAGGAATTTTTCTTTTACCTTTCAAAGAGAAGAGTGAACAGGGGGGTGGGGGGACACGGAGAAAAGTGCAACGATGAATGAATGGAAATCCAAAATCTCTGTAAATGTTCACTAAAATTAATTAAAAACAAAACAAAAAAAGGTTGTACATATCAAATCATCGTGTGGTTGCATGCAGTACTTGCTGAAGAGCACTTAGGCCGTTTTCAGCCATTTCTCTCTCAAGAAATGTCACACTGGCTTCCTGGAACATGGAGCTGTGTACCCAGCCATACATAGCTGAGCCACTTTTGAAAAGCGTGGCTGCATTTCAGCTCTCGGTTGTACCAAATGATAAGAACTGGGAAACCAAATACATACAAAATTAGTTTTGAAAACTTGAATAAAATTTTTTAGTTTAATTGTCATTTTAACAAAAGTTCACAGAAATGTGAGATTTTCATTCATCCATTCATTGTTGAACATTTTGCCCCCTCTTTCCCTTCCTTTCCCCTACCCTAGTTCACTTAAAAAAAAATCATTCATTGTTATACAATTACCGCCCCCACCCCAGTCCTCTTTGCAGGGTACCTCTTGTTCTGTTCTTGTCTCTTGGGCTGTTTTCATATGTATAATTCCTAATCATATATTCCTTTTAAATATTCTTTCCTTCCTCTATCAATGCAGTGTTCATTATTTATCCCTTCTTTTCTTAGTTTCCTTCCAACCCTCATGTCAGTCCTGTTTTATAGTGGTGGTGTTACACAGTAGTTGTCCTTTTGTGACTGAGATAGTTCACTCAGCATAATGTCCTCCAGTGTCTACCCATATTGTGTAATATTTTATTAGTTCCTTGCTTTTCAGGGCTATATAGTATTTTATTGTGTGAATATGCCATAGTTTTTCTATCCATTCATTTGTTGATGGACACTTGCATTGCTTCCGTCTCTTTGCTATTGTGAATAACGCAGCATTAAACAAGACTGTGTACGTCTCTGTTTGGGTGGAAGTTCTGGTTTCTTTAGGGTATATTCCTAGTAGTGGAATTGCTGGGTCAAATGGTATTTCTATTTCCAGAAAGTGCCATACTGCCTTCCATAATGGTTGCACCATTTTATACTTCCACCAGCAGTAAGTGTTCCAATCTCTCCACAACCTCACGAGCATTTGTTGTTTGTTGCTATTGTTACGAAAGTGAGGAATGTACCTCGTAGTTGTTTTTATTTGCATCTCTCTGAGAGATTTGGAACATTTCTTCATATGTGTGTTTGCCATCTTGAATGTCTTCTTTGGTGAAGTGTCTATTCATATCTTGTGCTCATTTTGTGATTGGGTTGTTTACGTTTTCCTTGTTGTGGTGCTGGAGTATTCTATACATTTCAGATAGGAGTTCTGAATTTTAAAAATTATTTTAAAGGGGTTATATCAGCTACCTTTTTAAAGTTCTAAACCACAAAACTTTTACTTATTTTCATTTTTGTGTGAAGGTTTACAAAGAAAATGATTTTTCATTTAACCATTTGTATACACTTTGTTCTACAACATTAATCTCAATACTCACGATGTAACAGCACTTTCCCCACTTCCTCTCTTTAACTCTCATTTCCATTAATATTCCTAGACCTTTCTGTGTCTTTCCTTTATTGATACTGTGTTAATTCTCCCCTATTTGGATTCTTTTCACCCATCTTACATGTGCCTTATGACTATTTACTTTTCTTTATTCTCTTCTCATACCTGGTAACTATTTGTGAATTACTGTAGCTCTGTCTAAACTCAGCTTTTTCTAACAGTGGTATTAAACTATATTTGTCCTTTTAAAAAATATATATCTTCTGAAGATTTAACATTTGTTGATGTTTATTAATAATCTGTTTTTCAATACAGTTTACATCTTCATCCCCATTCCTAACCTGATTATCCAGATGCTAAGTAGCAGAAAGGACTGGCTGGAATAAAGACATCCACAGGAAGGGATAAAAGGGAAAGCTGTGATGCTAAGTGCAGGCACAGGTTCTAAGAGGGAGAGCAAAGTGTCTTGGAGATAAACTCAAGGTAATTATGTTTTAGCTAAAGTTCGTTCAGTCCTCCTCATCTTTTGCTCCAGGCTTCAGGATGCGTGGAAACACAATGTAACGGAAATTCCCCTCTGTCCATCAGTGCTTCTCTGTACCCCTCGTCTACTTCCTCTCAGTAAAGCGGTCCCCCATGGTGGTCAGCAGCTCTCTCAGGTGGTCTTCCTGGATGGTGCCTGTTGCTTCTTCATCAAAAGAGGAGAAGGCATTTCTGATGACAGCCTCTGCATCTCTCCCATTGAGCTTCTCCCCAAACATCGAGAGGCAGGGCACATGGAGAAGATGATGGGCCCTGGAGCCTCCTTCGCCATGGCTTCCAGGTACTCAACAGTCGAGTTCTTCCCTAGAGAGGCCAGCATTTTCATGCATGTGGGGCGCGCGGGCAGGACGTGGGGTGGTCGGGCAAGCACAGAGAACTGGGCTCAAGGGCAGGTCGTGGGGCGTGCGGGCAGGACGTGGGGCGCGCAGGCAGGACGTGGATGGCCAGGCGGCACAGTGCACGAGGCTCTCTCCCTGCCTGTGGGCCTGGGCCACGAGGCTCCCTGCACTCCACACCGTCTAAGAACCCGTCCCCCTATATTTGTCCTCTTTGATTTGTTTAACTCAAAATTATGTTGTCTTCACGCATCCATGTTATGCAGTGATTTGTGAATTATTTATTGTAAAATGTTGTTGTTGTTGTTGTTATGTGCCATCGAGTCGTTTCCGACTCATAGCGACCCTATGCACAACAGCTCTAAACCCTGCTCTATCCTGCGC